AATAATAATAATAATAATAATAATAATAATAATAATGATAATAAAATCATTTATCTTTTAGTATTCGTTTGACTTTGTTTTACATAAAAATTATCAATAAAAGGAAAATATTTTTTTACAATAATTGGTGAGAATTCTAATTCAGGGAAAAGCTAAAAATAAATGTGGAAAGAAAGTTGGAAGGTGAATTCTAGAAAAAAATTTGGACATCAAACAATTAAAAGTTGAAAAATCCATGGAAAATAAATGGCTATCAAACATAGTCCAAGTGTATTCAATAGAAAGTTTGACGCTAAACGATATTTAACGACGAGTATCAGCATGCCAGGAGCTATGATATTATTGATGTGGTTTTCATTCAATTGAGAGTTTCAAGTAGTCCACAATTTTAAGAGTTTAGAGTTGGGTGAGCTGAGCTGAGCTAGGTCAACTCGGTTAGTTGTCATTGATATGGTTATCATGTCATATTTGTGTAACTGCATTTATATGGCAAAATACATTGTGTCTTTTTTTTTCCTTTTTTTTCTTTTTTTTTTTTTTTGTTAGAATTTCTATCATAATAGAAAAGAAATTCTAGAGTTATATGTGATATCAAATATTGTGATTTTAGAGAAACACCTGTGTAAGTTGAGTGTAACTAAGTCCCTATTTGATTGTCATTATAAAGGGAAATTGGAGAAAAATGATGTCATGAATGGTGTTTTTTTTTTTTTTTTAAGAATGTGTGGTTAAGAAATAAAAAAAAAAATTGGTTTCTGTGAAAAATATTTTATTATGTGAACGTGTAATTAAAATGACTATGAGAAATAAAGAGTTCTGAAATAAATAGAATCAAATAGGGGTAAGACAAGAATGTTGAGATAGATTTTTTTATAAAACCAGTCGTTGTCAATTGCATAGCACGGGTTTTGTATTTACTGTATTTTTATTAGTATCAAAATTGTAGATTTTTCCAAAACTTGATGAAAATTCAAAGTGTTTGGTGAAGTCTGATTGTTTGATTCATTGCAATTAAAAAACTTTATAATTTTATTTTTTTGTTTTTATTTTTCGCCTACAATTTTTTTTTTTTTTTGTTCCTTAATTTGTTAAACCATTTAGTTTTTACAATTATGTTTGCTTAATTTTTTTGAGATTAGTTTTATTTCATTATTTCTTGTTCAATGTTCTAACATTTGAAATTTTTACAGGATGGAATACCTTCTGAATGTGGAGTTGAGAATGATAATCATCAAGATTAAGAGTCTCGATTTTAGTCATTATCTTGAATTTTTTCATTTTTGAAAAAAAAAATCATCTCAAACATTAAGGAATGAGTAAATATAACATACATTGAATAATTATTATTAATGAAATTTTTAAGATTTAATTATTATTAATTAAATAATTTGTATTTTTCTATAATTATATATAAGATATATTTAATCTTTTTGACATTCAACACAGGAAAACGATATCATTTTGTACTGTAAATGCTGGTAAAAGGGATAAAAAAAAAAGGAAATGAAATATAAAATGAAAAAATTATTATGAAGTTTTTTAATTAAATTGAAATAACTAAAACTTAAAAATAAATATTATTTAATTAAAATTGAAAAAAATATGTTTTATCATAAAAAAAAGAATTAAAAAGAATTTTAAATCGAAAAAAATTTGAAACAATTTTCAAAAAAATATAATAAAAAAATTAAATTAAATTAAATTAAGAAAATTAAATAAAAATATATAAATATTATTTAATTAGAATTGAAAAAATTAAGTTTAATCATAAAGAAAAAAAGAATTTTAAATCAAAAAAATTATTTATAATATGAACAAAACAAATTTAAAAGAAATGAAAAAAAATAAAAAAATTCTTTCCGTGAGATCTCTCAATGGATAGTCCACGGAGAGATTTCTCTCCTTGTGGATGGGGAGATTCTATTATACATACACATTTATGTGTCTCTCCATCCACTGTGATTCTCTCTATTTGCAGAGAGAAATTTTTTTCCTAATTTTTTTAATTTGTTTTGTTTAGAGTATTAATAATTTTTTTAAATTTAAAATTATTTTTAATTCTTTTCTTTTTGTGATAAAATTAAATTTTTTTCAATTTTAATTAAATAATATTTATATATTCTTTATTTAATTTTTGTAACTTTCTTTTGTTTAATTTGTTTTTTATTATAAATTTTTTGAAAATTATTTTAAAATTTCTTGTTCTTTTATATTATAAATAATTTTTGTTCGATTTAAAATTCTTTTCGTTTTATAATAGAATGTAATTTGTTCAACTTTAATTAAATAATATTTATTTTTAATTTTAATTATTTCAATTTAATTAAAAAAATTATAATAACATTTTTTTTTAATTTTTGCCTGCAATTCTTTTCTTTTAATTTGTTAAATCATTTAGTTTATTTTCTTTATTAGTATTGGATTTGATGAAATGATTTAGTGTGTAAAAATGAAGAAATGTTGCAATGGAGGTGATGGTTGTAGTTAGTGGCTTGTGAAAATGAGAAATAATTAAAGATAACACGACGTTGTTTTTGCTCCAACGATTAAAAAAGATTTTGCTACAGTGTGATGAAATGAAAGAATTTATTGTTCCTAACTACAGTACCTTCAATTTCCCTCTTTTATATAGTAGGGATACGGTGAGATCAAGTATAAAATGTATGTAGGATCAGTTAGATAAAGTGGTACTAATTGAAAATGAATTGGTTGAGAATTAGTTTGAATACATACAATTGAGGAATCATGCTACACGTATAATATTTGTTGACAATGTTGGTTGATAGCATCCTACTTGACATCATTATATTCATCTATTTTAAAAAAATTGTTTTCTACATCACATGCTTGAATTTTGACAACACATAGTTGTCAACTATGTTTGTACACTTAGCTTTATTCACAATTGAAATGCCAATGTATCAAAGTGATGGATCTTGTAACTATGATGATATTGCTATATTATTTTAGTTATCGATAGCAACCATCTATGATATTGCTGGCAACCATCTTTTCTCCATATTTCAAATGCTTCCTTGGATACATATACCTTTGGTTCAAAGTAATAGTTTGATGATACTAATTACTCTACAAGTTTAGAACTCAAATTTTACAATCAGTGATGTATAGTAGTATTAAAATGGATCGATCGGTCTAAATTTGACCATCCATTCTAGGTCCAGCCTATCTTTCGATAGATCCCACTTTATGTCACAACTAGTAGTGACATGAAAATTCACAATACCTTGGTTGAATAAAGCTGCTTGTGGGAGCTGGCCATATAGCAGCCTTCTATCATGGTTAACCAACTAAAGAGCGGGCAATTTACAAAAATATCCCTAATATTAGGTGTTTTTTGAAAAAAATAATAATAATAAAAAATATGAACTTTTATTTAAAAAGTGGTGTTTATTACATAAAAAAATGACAGAAATTTCAAGAAAGTGATAAGAAAAAAAGTGACAAAAATTCCAAAAAAGTGATAAATACCAAAAAAATGAAAAAAATTCAAAACAAAAAAAATACACTAAATAAGTGAGAAAACCAATCAAAACCTAAAAATATATTCAGGGGTGGTTTGATTTTATTCTATATATTGTCTCTTTGTAATTATGGTTTGCTTCCATTAATTAAACATGAGACATAACTTCATATTGGGAATAGACACTATATGACTTGGAAGTGATATAAATTTTAAAAAATGACAGGAATTCAAAAAAGTGACAAATTATGTTTATGTCAACAATTCAAAACTATAAATGGAGTCTTGGAATAAATTTTCCTTTATTGGTTTGAATTTACTATATGGTGTTAAACATGGTAGTATCCATGTAAGATATGGAATACGCATAAGCATAATATATTTTACTTTTATGTGCTCCAAAATAAATGTATTTATAAATATTATACACTTATTCGGGGCTTTAAACAATAATATTTTGTAGTTCTTCTGATGAAATAAAGCCTAATTCATGTTATATTATGTCAAATAGATAAAACTAGATGTTTGATGAAGAATTCGAGAAATGAATGCAAAAATAATGAAAAATGGCGAAATCCAAAAGTAGAGGACTAAATTACAAACAATCAATAGATGAGACGGGTGACAAAATAAAGATCAAAGATGCCAAGGATTTAATTAGATACAATTGAAAGATAAAGGAACAAGATTACAAGAGAAAACGGCTCGATCAAATCAAATACAAAGTTTGAGGACTAAAATGCAATACTTCAAAAGTTGAGTCGGATTGTAAAACGATGATTCAAGAATGTCAATGTCAAATGGAGTTAAAGAGAAGTCAATGGGATGAGAATTTGTTGAAAATGATCAAGATACACACATGAGAAAATTTGGTAAAAAATTATAATATACTTAAGCATAGGTTTGCAACCTTAAATATACACAAACCAATTATTGAGTTACTTGTGAGAATTAGTTAGCCTGTGTGAGTTAGTTGGCCTGTCTGATAATGAGGAATATGTTGAATTATGAATTAATCTATGAATGGTGAATAAATTACATGCTTAAATTAATTTTTACTTTTCCATGTGAAAGTTGATGTTTATTGAACGCATGAATTAAGTTTAGCATTGTATAGAAATAAGTTGATTTCATAATTGAATAGGTTGAAATAGTGGACTATTGTCGATATTATTCAATAAGTGTACGGATCATAAAAAGTAGTAAAATAGACCTATGAGTCCGGATTATCATTCCCTCGATGACTATACTTTAGCACTTAATTCAATTTTCTCTAACCACTATTTGATGAAAATAAACAAAAATAATGATCGATTGTAATTTTTGATCTAACTACTTAAAATGTGAATGGATGCAACAAAAAGTGATTTGGAATTCAATCAATAAATGGACGTTAGGGCGGAACAACTTCACTTATTGGTCACCTTTACTTTTAATATAGAAATTCATAAAATCTAAAGTAGTGTTCGATCGAATTATTCTATTGTATTCAATTTACCCCTTTTGAGTTCTCATTGAGCATATTTAATTACTTCAATCCCATATCTCTATGCGAATCAAACTTAGTTAAATGTACTAATAGTTCTAAGAATTCATTTATGACTGCAACAATTAATATAAATATCTCCACACGTTATATTAATTTACCGAATTTTAATATGTAGTCTAAACAAGAGTTCACATAACCACACAATTATTGTTCACGAAATTATTGAATAATTGGTTAGAAAATTCAAATCATTGAGAATATGATTAAAATCGACACATGTAATTATAACGAACAAGAATCTAAAATAAAAGAAATAAAGGTTCTCAAATCAGTTACATTGTTCGTCCTGCAATTAGATTAGCTACTCATAGTAATGAAAGATAAACAAAAATTTATTATGGAAGATATCATCGAATTTGTACTAAAGATGTGAAGAAAAATTAGAATTCTTGCACCAAGATCTCCTTTCTCTTCCAATCAATGCGTTAAACCTTCAATTGTTTGATGTTTTTCCTCATTTGAATTCCTCTTTTGATTCTCCAATTATCTTCTCTTACCTCTCAATGTGTGAATCCCCCCTAAAGTCTAAGAAAAATTATTTTTATATGTGCCTTACCGTGTGTAGAAGGTAGGGTTTTTATTAGGACTCCAAAATGGGTCGAAATTTTCGCTTAGGTGACGGTGCGGCGCCGCATCAAAAAATATGCGGCGCCACTTCTCTAAATCTCCCGACGCTGCAGCACCCTGAATCTGGCGCCGTGGCACCATTTTCACGACAGACCTCTTTCAGTATTTTTATCATAATTTTCTATCTCGATGTTCAATTGAAGTGATTCAAGATGCATTGGAAAGTTAACTCAAAAGGGTACAACTTTGATTCAGATATCATTTCAAATTTGATCATTTACTATGTCAAAAATGGGTCTCGATATGAGGCTTAAATCGATGCATAACTTTTTTCGATTGGAAATTAAGGTGTGATCATACTTTGATTATGTTTCATCCCTTTGACATATTTCTTTATCCAATTGACTCTGAGTACTCTTGAATCTTCATCATGTGGTCCGACTCAACTTTTGAGTATTTGTACTTGAGTCCTTAAACTTTGGATCTCTTACAACTTAGCCCTTTTTCTTGTTTCTTCCAATTTCTTGTACCATCATTGTATTTTACCTATTCAACACCAAATGCAACAATTTAGACCATAATTCATTCTAGAACCAACTAAATATCATCGTTTTAAGTCCTTAAATAAATGTGTAAACTACAGTTATCAAAAACCCCCAAACTTAAACATTCGTTTGTTTTCAAACAAAACTATCATCTAAATAACTACTAACACACAATCATGTAAGGGATAATTAGTTGTACAATCAAGTTTTTTACCTCAAGGTTCAAGATTTTGATGTTTATTCTACAAACATAATTCAAAGTCACAATACTATATCAATATCTACTCTTCCAGTGCAAAACTGACGTACGTGTGTGTGTGAAGAATTAAGAAATCAACCATGATTGCACAAATTGTTTCAATTCTCAACCCTCTGTGGTCAAATATATCCTTACATTTCTTGTAAAATTCACACAGCATCAAACTTGTTCTTTTTCACTCTTTCCCAGCTTGTAACGTAAGGTTGAATATTTCATTAATATTCTCACACTCTCGGGTTCAGGTGGACGTTACTAATTGCAAGTCAACACTTCAGTGAACAGGGATTCTCCAATTATTTGATTACTTAAACCACCACGACTCAACTAGCTAATTATCCTTTATCTAAAGTTAAATTTCCTCAAATAAGTGTTAGGGCTTAACCAAGGCACTTAGTGCTTTTGCTCTTTTTATGCACTTGCTTTTTCTATTTTTCACAATATATATATATATATACACACACTTTTTTTTTTTTGTATTCTCTCCATGAAGCTTTCTAGATGACCCCTGTAGCAGGCTTTAGGCTGATGACTTCCAAAACAGATGATTTTAGAGCACTAGATTTTAAACACCTTTATAGGCTTACTGACCCGAGTAAAAAAGGTTTCGAAGAGAACAATTTTTTGTTTCAAGTGCAGCTTCATCTTTGATTACCTTCTAAATGACCCATGTAGCGAGCTTTAGGCCGATGACTACCAAGTCAGACAACTTTAGGACACCAGGTTTTAAGATACCCTTACAGGCTTAATTACTCGAGTCATCAAAACTTCAAAGAGAGGTTTTTAGATTTCAAATATATATGCATTGATTAGTGCAATGCCCCTTTCACACACTTATTCAAACATACCGACTTCCAACTTAAGATTTTCGTCTAGTTTAATCATGTTAGTCTAAAATAATCTACACATTAGTTTTCACACATGGAATCCAAATTCATACCCGCGTCTTCCTACAACTATAAAGTTGCCACAAATTGCGCTAAATTTGGTCTAAGGATAAATAATTTACTTTGGTTTAGATATAACATCTATGTCCAGTTAAATCAATCTATTTAACAAATGAATCAACTTGTTTCATCACAATGTCAGACTCAATTCTAGTGCACGTTCAATATCAAATTTTGCAAGGTTAAGCTTCAATCAATTAGCATGCACCATATCCACGGTTCATAAATCAACATCAAATCTCAAAGTAAAATGTAATTGTAAGCCAAAATGTCCAACTCACACAAAAATTTTAGGTAGGCAATTAATAATAATACACTCCCCCAACCTTACAGTAAACATTGTCATCAATACTAAACTTAAAGGAAAAGGAGGAAGACTTCCCTGAAATGTTAGCATTGTCTGTGACGTTGTGGTGTCTTGATGTTGCATTTAATCGACTTTTCTTCCACATTCTCTCCACAAAATTGAGATTTGTCTTATTTTCTCCTTGTCCATGTTGGTTTGAATGTTTCGCGACGTCATGTTCCTGAAAATCAAAATTGAAAAATTAAACTCATGGATCAAATGTTACTTAGATCAAACAATTAATAACCAACTTAAGTACTCAAAGATCTACGAGTGGAAGGGCTATGAGTGATAATTTTNTTAGTGGAATGGTTGAAATTCTTGAAAACAAGTGATATATATTATAGTATGAAGCATTAAGACAACCATCAACTGTATCCAGTGGTCCGTAATGAGTGTTGATTGCTAAAGGTCAAGGGATCAATTCCCTATATCATCAAAATTGGGTCATTTACAGTAAACCGTCGAGTTAATTCAAACCGGTTTACCGGTTCTTTATTAAAATCGGCCGGTTCGTCTAGTTTTAGACCGATTTGAATGCTAAACAGTCCCCTTATGAGACTTGGATCGGACCATGGTCCGCGGTCCAGTCCTGGTTTAATAACTATGATAGTACTTACTAACATGCAAATAGAATGTTGCCCCCTCTATATTCAAAGCATACGGTAGTATTTTACTTTGCATTAGTTGGGGGACTCTGTTCATCCTGCCTAACAAACTTGTATCTCGAGGTAAAATCTGAGTATAGCTTACATTGGCTGCATTTATAATAAAACTGGTATTCTGATAAGCATTTAATCTTCCTTAGGAGGCATCTAGTCTATGTATCTGCTTAATTCAATGCATTTTTATAGTAAGTCATCATTGAGAAGAAGTCTTCGTGTTTCCCTGACATACTTTTGCATAGATTTGTGTCTGCTGCACACACAGTATTGATGTGCCTCTTTCTCATAGTCGTTTGGTTTTTTAATATGTTTTTACTTCTTTCATATAAAAAATTCGCTTCTAGGTGTACTTTTCTTGGCTGCGAGAAACCTTTATTAGAAGCTTTTCTCTGGTTAAAATTACAAGAAATATTCTATGGCCTCAGGAGGAAAATAGCTAATGCTGAAAACAAGTTCATGATCAGAATCATTCCCGGAGATTAAACTAAAGAATGATGGAGCTACGTTCCTCTTTTGCTGTACGATCTTTGTTCTTGTTCGTATTCCTTGTACCAACAATTATTGCGGACCTAAAGTCAGATAGAAAGGCTCTTCTTGATTTTGTTTCCGGTGTACCTCATGGACGGAGACTCAATTGGAACGCTAAGTCTTCAGTTTGCACATCTTGGTCTGGAGTCAGTTGCAGTCCAAATGGTGCTCGGGTAGTGGAGCTCCGGCTTCCTGGAATTGGACTCCATGGTCCTGTTCCACAAAATACCTTAGGTAGGTTGGATGCACTTGAGACCCTCAGCCTTCGATCCAATCTCCTGGATGGGAATCTTCCATCTGATATTCTCTCTCTTCCATCCCTCCGCTACGTATACCTCCAACAAAACAATTTCTCAGGTGACATACCTTCCTCTCTTTCTAGACAACTAAATGTGATTGACTTTTCCTTCAACTCTTTAGCTGGGAACATTCCAACCACAATTCAAAATTTGACAAGTCTCACCGTTTTGAACCTACAGAACAATTCTTTCACAGGTTCCATTCCTGATTTCAAGCTTCCAATGCTTAAACAATTGAATTTAAGCAATAATCAACTGAATGGCTCAATTCCATCATCACTCAAGGCATACCCTGCTTCCTCATTCATAGGAAACTCCAAGTTGTGTGGGAAGCCCTTGAGTAAATGCTTTTCTATAACACCTTCTCCTTCTCCCTCTCCCTCTCCCTCCCCTTCTCCCTCTCCCTCTCCCTCGCCCTCTCCCTCTCCCTCT